CTTTATCCCATCAATCCCAGCTGCCTTACCCCCTTTCATTTTACCTACTGCCTCACGAACTTCCCCCACACTCACAACTGGCTCTTCCTCACTCCTACAAGATGTTATTCCTCCTTGCCCTATACACGAAATCACAGCTTCCCTATCTTCATCAACATTCAACAATTCCTCAAAATATTCCCTCCATCTTCCCAATACCTCTAACTCTCCATTTAATAACTCTCCTCTCCTATTTTTAACTGACAAATCCATTTATTCTCTAGGTTTCCTTAACTTGTTAATCTCACTCCAAAACTTTTTCTTATTTTCAACAAAATTTGTTAACATCTCACCCACTCTCTCATTTATAATTATACTGCAATAAGCACTGAAAATATCTAAGTAAAAAGTACAATTTATCCAGTGAATTTTGTCCAAAATTTTAAAAGTGCACTATATCTGGTGTTTACTGTATATCATATTTATTCTAACCTATAACTTACAGCTGATAGCTACAGTATGGTCAGGGACACCCATAATATATCTCAGCCAAATATAGCTTATAGTCCCAGTATGGTCAGGGATGGTTTGTTAAGCTCAGTCATTACTGGAATGTTGTGGTGAAGAGTTAACATTCATACAAGACAGCTGGTGAATGTTGTGGTGCAGAGTTAACATTCAATACAAGACAGCTGGTGACTGTTGTGGTGCAGAGTTAACATTCATACAAGACAGCTGGTGACTGTTGTGGTGCAGAGTTAACATTCATACAAGACAGCTGGTGACTGTTGTGGTGCAGAGTTAACATTCAATACAAGACAGTGGTGAATGTTGTGGTGAGAGTTAACATTCATACAAGATAGCTGGTGACTGTTGGTGCAGTTAACATTCAATACAAGACAGCTGGTGACTGTTGTGGTGCAGAGTTAACATTCAATACAAGACAGCTGGTGACTGTTGTGGTGCAGAGTTAACATTCAATACAAGACAGCTGGTGAATGTTGTGGTGCAGAGTTAACATTCATACAAGACAGCTGGTGACTGTTGTGGTGCAGAGTTAACATTCATACAAGACAGCTGGTGACTGTTGTGGTGCAGAGTTAACATTCAATACAAGACAGCTGGTGAATGTTGTGGTGCAGAGTTAACATTCATAAAAGACAGCTGGTGAATGTTGTGGTGCAGAGTTAACATTCATAAAAGACAGCTGGTGACTGTTGTGGTGCAGAATTAACATTCAATACAAGGCAGCTGGTGACTGTTGTGGTGCAGAATTAACATTCAATACATGACAGCTGGTGACTGTTGTGGTGCAGAATTAACATCATACAATGACAGCTGGTGACTGTTGTGGTGCAGAATTACATTCAATACAAGACAGTGGTAATGTTGTGGTGCAGAATTAACATTCAATACAAACAGCTTGTGACTGTTGTGGTGCAGAATTAACATTCAATACAAGACAGCTGGTGACTGTTGTGGTGCAGAATTAACATTCAATACAAGACAGCTGGTGACTGTTGTGGTGCAGAATTAACATTCAATACAAGACAGCTGGTAACTGTTGTGGTGCAGAATTAACATTCAATACAAGACAGCTGGTGACTGTTGTGGTGCAGAATTAACATTCAGTACAAGACAGCTGGTGACTGTTGTGGTGCAGAGTTAACATTCAATACATGACAGCTGGTGACTGTTGTGGTGCAGAGTTAACAATACATGACAGCTAGTGGACTCCAGGGCCTCCTCATGGTCTCTCCTATACAAAGACTTTTCCATGCTTCAAAATGTAGTTTTGTGCTAAGAGACCATGGTAGTCCATACTGACATTGTACCACCATCACCCAGACTACAGGGGCTACATAGGTGAGTGTAAACTACAAACATGAGCCTGAGAAGAGTGACTATTTCTTCAGACACTGAAACTACAAACAATACAAAAGAGAATCTTTGTATTCAGCAAACAGCATAGTCATCACAGAAACACAGCAGTGTATGTGAGACTTCTTTATTGTCAGCCTAGTAGTCCAATGGTACAACACAAGACCTTCTACAAGTCACGACCATGGTTTAAGTCTCCTTCAGTTCTTCTTAGGGCCCTTCTTATGGCCTTGAATCCTGCCAGTACATAAGATAGTTATTGCATATACACATAGGCACCTGAATGAGCAGTATCAGAAAAACCAACAAATGTAATAAAAACAAGTAGAAGGCTGCAAGCACATAAGCATGTCCACCAATGACAGTGCTGAAAGATTGATCTGGGAATGTCGAGACAAATGTTATACGTATTCTTGTGGTTGATCCTGGTGGTAAGCAAGTCAATCCAAAGTTCATCCAGAGAACCAAAGACCATTGGTACAGCTCCTGCCAGTTAACAGTTGATCTGGCAGGGATAGAGATTCCTGGGAAGGTACAATGGAAATAGGTGAATTTCCACACACAAGAAAAGCTTCACTGTGAAGGAGAAACAGTAGACATTCTCTAGCTTGAGTAAAAAGTCGAGGTCATATTTGGCAGAAGAAAATCTCAGTGCCCTACTATTATAAGTCTGGCCTTCAGTTCCTTCCCAGGATATGAGGACACAAGAAGAGCCCCCATAAGCTGGGAGGACACACTGATTCAATTATCATCTGAGGTGTCAGTCATGAGGGAACATAGAGATGGAAAGATTGTAAGTACTGAACCCCACAGTTTGACAGGAAGCAGCCCCTACTTGAGAGCCTCCTACAGCAGCTCCTTCAGCACAGACAAGAGGGTAAGACATACATACCTATATCTGGCAAAAGAGGACTGATGCACAGTCAAGAAAAGGTAGTGATAAGTGTGGGAAGACAAAAGCCACAAAAATATCTAAGTGATGGATATTATGTCCTGCCTGATAACAGCTGGAGCCTAGAAAACAGCAACAACTGAGTGTATGATGATACTGAGAGTAGGAAATTTGCATAGTTAACCCTTAAACGGTCCAAACGTATATATACGTTCATGCGCGTAGCTCCCCAAATGTATATATACGTTTTCTTTGTCATTCATTCAACCTGGCCACAAAAAGCCTGAGTCACCTAGACATGAGAGAATGGGTGTGCGCACTCACTGTGTGCCATATTAAAATAATTGGGGATGCCTGGGTACCATATGCTCTTTTTTCCTTTTAAAAGAAAAGATTTTTTTTCCTCAAAAAATTTGGGGCGCTACGCTAGTGAACGTATATATACGTTTGGACCGTTTAAGGGTTAAACTGCACATCCAACCATTGCAAGGAGCACTGAGGAAAGACAACTTGTTGTAATAAATAAGGAAGCCCACAATTTGAAATGCTGGTTTCATCCAGAGAATTGTTGCTGTGGGGAGTAACAAGCCAGTCACCAGAATGCCATCAAGGTTGATAAACACTAGCACTCCATGAGCACAGACACTACAAATGATAAGCAACAAGACACAGGTGAAAATTCATGGTGCCATCTTACAATCAAAGTGCACAGCCACAAACTGATAGATCATTCCATCAATGTGGTAAGAAAATTTTCAGAAGCTGCTGTAAATCAGATGATAGAAGACCTGAAGACCCAATAACAAAGCCCACCTGAGCTAGACAAAAGAGGGAACCAAGGAGAGTCCAACTTCAATAACATTATAGGCAAATGCATATTTAGGGCCACTGTCAAACAAGGAAATTCATTAAGATGTACAGGAATAAATCCTACATGTATCACTATACTAGCCCAAAGAAGGTCCCTGATGACAGGGAACAGGTATGCCAAGGAAGCCACTGGGGGAATTATGGGAAGGGAAGTCCATAACAGGAGCAAGGGGCTAGTAACCCCTTCTCCTGTATATATTACTAAATTTAAAAGGAGAAACTTCAGTTTTTTCTTTTGGGCCACCCCACCTCAGTGGGATACGGCTGGTACGTTGAAAGAAAGAAGAAGAAGTCCATAACAACAGTGGGATAACCTCCAACCAGAAAAAGAGCTGGATCCCATACTGGGAAGAGCAAGAATGTCACCCATGAACTCCTATGTTATCCATTGAAGAGTAAACTGAACCTTCACTGGTTGGAAACAACCAACAACCCAGGGTAACGATATCCACTGAGTGGACACATTTAGAGGCAATCCTGACTGGAGGGTTGCAAGATATCTTAAAGCATGCCTTGAGGCCTGGTCTGGGACTGGGTCATGGTGAATAATGACCACTGGAATCATCTACAGATAATCTGCAAGCAATGCTAGCAAGAAACTGTGATAGGAAAGATCAGCATCAAACAAGGTGCCAGTTTAGGAACTACCTGACTGTGTGTGTAATGCAGTCAGTAACCGAATGGCTTCTAAGAAAACAGATGAAGGACTAAGGCTCAGCCTAGGAAGAACCTCAGAAAAAAAAAAAAAATCCAGGCCATGCTGATCCCAAACCACATACAGCAGATGGCCCCCACATGTGAGAGGGGCCAGGACCTGAGCCCCCTTGACAGGCCTAAAGATGAAGAATGCATCCATTTGTGGATTATATCTCTTGCACTGTCACAACTCAACACAGCCCAGTCCATATGAGATGGACTATAATATGTCATACAAATATAAAAAAAAAAACCATGCATTTGATTGATCCAACACGACCCAACACAGCAGGGCCACACAGGAGGAACCAGGTATATGTTACATGTCTCCCACTTTAGTATATCACACAAGAAAGTTGACAACTGGCTTGGCGTATGTTTTGCAGATCTCAGCTGACTCCTATGCATACAACATTTGAGTAATGACTATCTGAAGGGGAAGGGGCAAACTAATGTTTAATAAAATATCCCAAACCTTGCCAGGGTAATACGATGAGTAACATGCAGGGATAAGTGTGACATATAGCAAAGGGGGGTTCCCCCCCATGGTCTCACAGCAGAAAGTTTACTAAAAAACAAACACAAGGGTACAATTCATAGACAAAACTGATGTAACCTTTGACTGTAATTATGCACTCTCACAGCATGGAATATTGCCATCAAAACTTCTGAGTCAACTTACTCCTTCTTCTGAAGACACACACAATTGCCATGATGACCTCAATAACAATGACAACCACTACTGCTGCTGGTATAACTACCCGTAGGTCCTGGTAGAGAGGCGGAGAAGCCACTCCTCCATTGGGAACATCTTCATCCAGCAACAACACTGTTGAATAACATCTTCTTTTAAATTACATCTTAAATACACCGCCATTTATTCTTAATTATACATAAAACACTAAGTAATAATAATCTGTACTATCAAATTACTCCTTTTTTTGACCAAAATCAAAATTGGTTAAATAACAATAATACAAATTCAACAGAATTTTCTGAGATTTTATTATCAGATCCTCAACTAAATGTGACTAAGATTGATACCAATCATAATACACAAATATATACATAACTGAGCAAACAGATTTATATAAGTTACTAGAGATGCAAGATGATCTGCACATTCTTCTGCATTTCCTAGCCTGGACCCACACAACCCACAGGCAAATACATCAGTGGGGAAAATTTAAATTTTATAGCTTTTTCTGCCTACCTCTGGTTAAAGAAAGTGTTGAGTCAATTCTCAAGAGAATGGACCATATTGATTCCACTATCTCCATCTTTCCCACTGGCTCTACAATAGTGAGATAGTGAGTTCAGCTAGTAATTCTACGCAGGTCAGCTATTGCAGCCAGCAGTAACATCCTGGTTGATCATGCCCAGATCCACCGTGAGGCCTGGTTATGGACCAGGATGCAGTGGCGTTGACCCACAAAACTTATTCCAGGTACATATTCCCCACCTCCCCCTTTAACAAATACCCTCATGGTTAATGCCTCTTTCATTAAAGATGGTGTCGCAAACATTTCTGCCAAATCTCAAGGACACAACACCCTCATCAGGTGACTTTTCACATACACAGGACGGAACTCCTGAAAGCTATAAAAATGTAATTTTAGACTGGAGGGTTTCCTCTGGAACCTGTCGCTGGTAATGAATTCTGACAACATACAGCCCAGGCAGAACTTCAACATAAGCACTATATGTTGACTACATTCTTCAGCATCAAGGAGACAGTGCTCTCCTTATTTAGGCAAATCAGATGTACCTCCTACCTTCTTTTTTTCCCAGGACAAGTGAATGTCTTCAAGGTTTATTGGTGACAACACCTGCCTGGCTACCACAAGTGAGAGCTTCAAGAACAAGTGTCTCAGTATAACCATTGCAGCATATAACTAAACAATATTTAGATAAAGAAGGGAAGTTTTCGTTGCTTTTATGGATTTAGAAAAGGCTTATGATAGGGTGGATAGGGGAGTAATGTGCCAGAAAGGACCTGCCTAGTATGGGCCAACAGGCCTGCTGCAGTGTTCCTCCTTTCTTATGTTCTTATGTTCCTATGTTGCAAGTGTATGGAATAGGTAGTAATTTTTTATGAGGATAGTGAGGCTCAGCTTAGGGTGTGTAGAAGAGAGGGAGATTACTTCCTGGTAAATGTAGGTCTTAGACAGGGATGTGTAATGCCACCATGGTTGTTTAACTTATTTATAGATGGGGTTGCAAAAAAGTAAATGCTAGGATGTTAGGGAGAGGGGTGGGATTAAATTATGTGGATTCAAATACAAAATGGGAGTTGCTGCTGATATTGTGCTTTTGGGAGATTCTAAAGAGAAGTTAGGTATAAAAAATTTGAATATTAGATTGGAGGGAGAGAGTATGGAAAAAGTGAATGTGTTCAGATATTTAGGAGTAGACTTGTTGGTGGATGGGTTAATGAAGGATGAGGATAACTTCAGAACTGATAAAGGAAAAAAGGTGAGTGGTGTATTGAGGTGTCTGTAGAGACAAAGAACGTTATCCGTGGAGGCAAAGAAGAGAATGTACAAGAGTTTAGTGGTACCAACATTCTTATACATGTGAATGTTGCAGCAAAAAGGAGACTCGAGGCAGTGGAAATGTCATGTCTAAGGGCAATGTATGGTATAAATATTATACAGAGAATTAAGAGGAGGTGTGGAGATACTAAAAGTATTATTCAGAGAGCTGAAGAGGGGTTATTGAGGTGGTTTGGTCATTTAGAGAGGATGGAGCAAAACAGGATGACTTGGAGGGTATATTAATCTGTAGTGGAGGGAAGGAGGGGTAGGAGTTGTCCAAGGAAAGGATGGAGGGAGGGGGTAAAAGAGGCTTTGTGTGCAAGGGGCTTGGATGTGGAGCAGGCATGTGTGAGTGTGTTAGATAAGAATGGAGATGAATGATTTTAGGGACTTGACGACCTGTTAAAATGTAAGCAGGGTAATATTTTGTGAAGGGATTCAGGGGAACTGGTTAGGCAGACTTGAGTCCTGGAGGTGGGAAGTACAATGCCTACACTTTTAAGGAGGGGTTTGGGATATTGGTTGTTTGGAATGACATCCGAACTGTTATATCTGTGTGCCTATCTGTGTGAATGATGGTAAAAGTGTTTCCTTCTCTTTTGGGTCACCATGCCTCAGCTATCATGTTAAAAAAAAGACCAGCCTGGCTACCACAAGTGTTACAGTATAACAACACCTGCCTGGTTGCCACAAGTGTTTCAGTGTAAGAACACCTGCCTGGCTACAACAAGTATTACAGTATAAGAACACTGCCTGGCTACAACAAGTGTTACAGTATAAGAACACCTACCTGGCTACCACAAGTGTTATAGTGTAAGAACACCTGCCTGGCTACCATAAGTGTTTCAGTATAACAACACCTGTCTGGCTACCATAAGTGTTTCAGTATAACAACACCTGCCTGGCTACCATAAGTGTTTCAGTAAAACAACACCTGCCTGGCTATCACAAGTGTTTCAGTATAACAACATCTGCCTGGCTACCACAAGTGTTCCAGCATATCAACACCTGCCTGGTATAGTGATACCGACAAGTTGTGGAAAAAAACACTTACGTACAATTCAGGACATTTATTGAAGGAAATGTTTGGCCATGAGTGGCTTCTTCAGTCCTAATACAGAGATGAGTATATATAGTAGGAGGAGTCAGGAGGTGGTGGTGGCAGCAGCGATGGCGGTGAGTGAGTTTGGTAGTTTGGTGGTGAAACGGCGGGGGTGAGATGGGTTTGGATAGAGAAGGAACTGTTAGCATCAAGTTACAGTGGTCTCCAGAATGGGTAACAGCTTGTTGATTAGCAATCTGGAGATAGTGTACCTACTGAACTTTTGATGGATAAGTGTTACAGACACCTGCCTGGCTGCCACAGTGTATCACTTTTTTGTTACTTGATTGAAAGGTGCTGTTCAGTTCACAAACAGCACTGCTGTATTACTGGGAGTGCTTGAAGTTCCATGAATATTGACAAGAGAGAGGTATCATAATTTACACCAAGAAAATTCTGGAGGGATCAGTTCCCAATATACACACTGAAATCCTTCTCTACAAAACCAGAGGTTTAGCACACAGTGCAAAATGCCTTCAGTAAAAAGCAGGGATGCACTGAGTATACTAAAAGATAACAAGTAAGTGTAAAAGGACCAAGACTGTTCAACACCTGCATTTCATACATAAAGGAAATAACCCACAGACCCCAAACTCTTTCAAGAGGAAACTTGATCAGTTCATCAATTTAGATCCTGATCAGCCAGGCTCTGAACTATGTTCAGCCAACACCAATAACTTGATTGATTAAGTTGTCAACAATGACCTTGAACTATTTTTCACCCTTGAATTTTGTACAGGCTGTGTCCAGGGCCTGTATGAGAGATCCTCTGCTAGCATCCTAACCTGTGTGTCTATTTAGCAGGTCAGGTTTATTCATGCTAGCATTCTAACCTGTGTGTCTATTTAGCAATTCAGTTTTATACATGATAGCAATCTAACCTGTGTCTATTTAGCAGTTCAATTTTTATATGCTAGCATCTTAACCTATGTGTCTTTTTAGCAGTTCAGTTGTATATATCATCTGTCACAAACCAAGAGTTTTGTGTCCCAGTGATCTACACTTTGTGTCTCACTAGTGCTAGCATTTTTATTTGTAGTGCAACAAACCTGAACACAGAAAGCAGGTTTTCATTCTCCAAAATTTTATTTCTAATTACTGTATGAGGTGATATCAAAACATTTTCGGACTGCTGCAAAAAAATAATTGTATAGGTTTAATCCGTTCCTTTCCTGGTCCAGCGGCCAAATTTCTAAGTGTGCACCAGTGTCCAAGAATTTTCAAAAAGTAATTTTGTTATTTTTTCTTATGAAATGGTAGAGAATCTTTTTCTGAAGGTAATAAAACAAAAAGTACGAAATTTGATGGAAAATTGACAAAATTATGCTCTCGCGAATTTTGATGTGTCAGCGTTATTTACGCATCGGCGATTCTGCCGACTCTGACTCCCATTTTAGGCCAATTACATTATCCCAGTCGACCAAATTTTTAGCTATTTTACTATCGATTCTATCGATTGGGCACAAGAAATCGCCAAGTTAACTGTTTCAACTACAAAATAAAGTGATCGGAAATTGGTAATTTGGCCAATTTAACGCAAAATTCAAAATATTCCAATTTCAAAATAGGGTCCAGAATAAACAATGCAGGCATTCCTGGCACTAAACTAACATTTCCTCTGTTAATTAGTTATGTTTTCAGGCTTTACAAATGAATTCCATTTTTATTTTTTATTCACATAGTGAACTTTTATTTCAAACCAAAAAATAGAAGAACTACTGTTATGCAATATTGTAATAATTGTATAAATAATATCACCACATTTGTGAACATATATTAGACCTGCCAGCTGGTATGTATTAGACGTGTGAGGCCATTTGTTTACTCTTGAACATCAGCAAAAATTTAACATTTCTGCTATTTTGAGCTCAGTTTCAAGCCATTTTCAGTACTAAAACCAATCAAAATCATCTCTATTTCTGTAACGTATCTTCAGTTCAATCAAATGAGACCAAGAAATTGCAAGTACAACTATAAAAAACATTCGGTCAGTTTTTTTCTCTCATTATGCACTGTGCGCTGCAGGATTTGTTTTATGTAGTGCACACATACCACATATATGTATTCTTTCATATCTAGGCCCAAATTTACCGTTCACAGCTTATCAGAGTGAGCTGAGCTCATGGCGTAGATCTACGGTTTGGACCCTCAATGTAAAACCGTAGATCTATAGCAAGGAGCCTGAAAGGGCTAAACCCATATTATTTGCAGATGACACTACTTATGTCTTCTCTCACCCAAACCCAACCATACTAACAGACACTGTAAATGCTGAATTACTTAAAATATCTACTACTTGGATAACTACCAACAAACTTAATCTCAATATAGACAAAATCTACTTCATGCTATTTGGAAAAAGAGCTTCAAATGTACAGCTAAACATAATGATAAATAGTTCACCCATTTCTAGACTCACAGAGGGCAAACCTCTAGGTCTCCACCTTGACTGTGGTCTCAAATTCCAGACCCACATACAGCAAATATCCAAGAAAGCCTCCAAAACAGTAGGCATCCTTTAAGAGATATGGTACTATGTACCCCAATCAGCTCTTCTTGCTCTATATCACTCCCTCATTTACCCTTACCTCACCTATGGTATTTGTGCATGGGGCTCAACCACAGCAAATCACCTCAAACTTTTAATAACCTAACAAAAAGCTACAGTGCAATTGATTACCAACTCCTGCACTAGACAGCATACTCCACTACTTTTCTAGTCTTAATATACAAAACATCCACACTTATTATTGTGCCTACTACATACATAGAACACTACACTCAAATATAAACCCTCCTCTCAAACTCCTCCATGATAACTATAACAGAACACACAGCCATAATACAAGACACAAATCACTCTTCAATATCCATTGTGTCCATCTCTCGCTATGCAAAAATGCTATGCACGTAAAGGGCCCTAAGATCTGGAAGTCATTTGCCAGAACACACTAAAGGACCCCTGTCTGCAATCAATTTAAGGCTCTACTTAGAAATCACCTCATCACCAAAAATTAACCAGACAAACCTTGCTCAATGCCTTCCGGTTTACTGAAAAGCTATACAAAAAACTTCTAAATAAGTTAAGTTTATGTTGAGCATTCTTAAGTCAACTTCATTACTGTATACTGTGCTAAGGATTGCTCAACCATATACTCATTACTTAAATTCCACTGTCTTCAATAATGCTAAATTGCAATAATTTCATATTGTAAACTGTTTTAAATTGTTCCAGTGAAATAATTCCATATTATAAATCAATTCAAATTGTACCATTGTTTGTAATAACGTAATTTTTATAAACTAATTTTAAAACTAATTATTCACTACTGAATTTCTCTACTGAACTTATTAAAGCCTGACAGCATTACCTATAACAACTTAATTCTCTTGTACTCACTGTAACTCATCAAAGGTCCTTATAATGAACTGTTATTGCTTTACTAATCTTAAGTTAATATTAAGTTTGCCCAAAATGCTCTACATACAAAGGAGCTTTTGGCATGTACACCCAACTATTATATTCCTTTGTAAAACTATGTATCATGTCAAAATAAATTTCTTATTCTCATTTTTATTCTATTCTAATCATCTAGCTGAAGTACTCTCCCTGGAAGTACTCCGCTTGGAAGGTTGTACACTGATCCAAGCACCTCGGTCATTTCTCAATATTTCGGAAACTCCTTTTTCCTACCAGCATCAAGTACAGCCTGTGATTTTGCTTTAATCTCCTCCACATCATTAAAACATCATCCCATGAGTGCCATTTTTATTTTTGGGAAGATAAAGAAGTCACAGGGAGCTAGATCTGGGGAGTAGGGGGGTGGAGGAAGACTGCAATTTGTTGTTTTTGACCAGAAAATGCTGGACAGGTAGTGCTGTGTGAGCAGGTAAACTGTCATGCTGGATGAATCTGTCTTTGGACACTTACAGTGCTGGATGTTTCCTTCTTATGTCTTACCTCAAACATCTCACAACCTCGATATAAAAATTTTGGTTAACTGTCTATCCTTCTGAAAAAAATTACTAATGAATGATTCCCACTTCTGCCCAAAAACAATGACTATTCTCTTAACTTAGTATGCCTTTTATGGCCTGGGTGAGTTGGGGCTTTTTCATTGTAAAGACTGTTGCTTGGTCTCTGGGTCGTAGCCATGGACTCAAGTTTTGTCACCAGAAATAACTAAGCTTCAAACAGAATTTCACTCACACTAATACAACAAAACACAACCACAAACACAAACACACATGCACACACACATATGCACACACATACATTGTTCCATTGATTCAGTTTTTATTACACAAAAAAATCATGAAAACACACTGACAAAAGAAAAATTGTCTATCTAACCTCAATGAAATGATCAACCACACTGAAACTCATCACTCTACTTCACAAAGGAGTGTATTGCACAGTGTGATCTATGCTGCCACTGTATTTCACCTAGGAAACATACCAAGATTGAAGTGCAAGAAATTTTTTACAGCACCTCATATATTTTATATAATATCCAAACATTTCTAGTTTCCATTCTTGAACTCTATCTTCAATCTATAAACATTCATGCTTATGTTCATGAACTGACAATGCCAGAAGCTAAAATTACTTATAAATTTGACAAATAAGAGACAGGACACTTAAGATTCTGAAATAATTCCATGTTAAAATGTAAGACATAGTTACCTGAAGTAACCTGTGAAAGATTCCTCTAGGTTGAAGAGGATCTCATGTGAAGTTCTTTGTCTACTTTACTATGCACTGTTTCCAATGACAAAGTTGAACACAAGACAGTAATCATGCAGTGTACTCAGTGAGGTGTGTAGAACCAATCCAGTACTCTTGCTGTAATTTCAACTAATTGTTTAAGAGCAATAAAAATACACACCAAACAATGGCTTGTACCTCAGTGGTAACAACATCAGGTCACAACACAAGGATCTGAGTTCAATCCCTGGCAAGTTGAAACACATGAGAAAGTCTCCACCTAATAGTAAATGGGTACCAGAGTGTTAGCCAACTAATGTGGGTGGCATCCTGGGAGATGGTAGTATACTTTGGACAAGACTGGATTTTTTAATGTGCTTAAATATGATAACACCTCTTCACTTGTGACTTCAAAATAAAGAAAAGGTGCCAGTGACATACCTCCTTCAGGAGTGAGAGTTTTGACATCATAGGTGGCCACACTGGAGCCAGCATGATTGTGAGCAGTAACTCTGACTGAATAACGTGTGGCAGGAGTCAGGTCACGGATCACATAGGTTTTCTCATTAGCTGCAACATTGTTGGCTACAGAAATCCAGTCCTGTAAAAGTCAGTTATGGATAAATGATTTATAGACTGCTGGAAAGTTTGTTGAAAAAAAAAACTCAGCACTGTATCTGTACTTCATGATTTCTTGAAATACATACCTAATATTAATCTACAAGAAAATACGACCTTTTAGAACCTTAATATTTAGGATTAATACAATTCTCAAGATTAACCCTTAAACTGTCCAAACGTACATCTACGTTCACTCACGTGGCACTCCGAATATTTTGAAAAATAATTTTTTTTTTTGTTTTTTAATGAAAAGCACATTTTTTTACATGTTACAGGACAAAAAAAAATTTAGGGTCAGTACTTGCTGAGATATAAGACCGTGAAGTTGGCTCTGGATGCTCACCTGACGGCAACATCGACTCCTGCCACTTGCAGAAGTGTTGCCGATACACCTTTTTTCTCGTTTTTATTTTAATTTATATATTTTTTATGTTCTGATAATTACAATTAATAATAGTTCTTGTGATTTCATAGCCAATCTTTGTTCTGACACTAATATTAGGTACTGAAATAGTGCTCAAATAGTCACAATCACATTGGCAGGTGAACATTTACACCTGCCTGGGTTATTTACTATTGTCCAGAAATATATACAAAGTATTTATAGGTCCCAGCAATGTTTTAGACACCCTGGTATATACCTTGAAGCATGATGTTATGAAAGGCATCTCTATACTGTTGACACCCCAGTGACACGATAAATGCCCACTGCTCCAGCTAACCCTCGTTGTATTTGTTATCAATGTTACACACAAACATGTCTTGCTCTCTATGTATCTGTCTGCCTGTCTGTGTCTGCTTATCTGTCTTTCTGTCTGCTTGGAGTATAAGTATATGAAACTCCTTGAAGAATGGTGTTATGACATCTGTTGACAGCTCAGTGACATTTGATAAATGGGCACTTGGAAACCCTGGCTTTATTTATTTTCACTGATACACACAAACATGTTTGTCTGTCTGTCTATCAATCTATCTATCTATCTGTCTCTCTATCTATCTGACTATTTGACTATAAGCACAGAAATACGTATCTTAATCTTAAAATAATGATTCCTAACTAGTCATAAGTTTGCCTGTGATAATCCAATATAGAAACTATGTATTGTGCCAAAACAAAAGCATTCACATTGCTAAACTCACAAACTAGTATTTAGTCACTTAGTATTTAGTCAACTTACTCCACAATTTGTAATAATTTAGGGCTAAGAGTTAATCTAAGTTTGCCTGAAATGCCTAGCCATGCTAGGTATTCTTGTGGCCCCCTCTGTAATTAGTATTTTATTACATGTAAACCACACAATAACCAAAATCTGTAAACCCCGCATTGTAATCCTTATAAAGAATAAACTTTAATTTGATTTGATTTGATCTACCTTTGCCTGGAATTTTTTGGGTTATCCTAGGTAATTTACACTATGTATAATAACTGTACTTTTGTGTACATGTGAGAGAGAGACAGATAGACAGAGAAACAGCCAGAGACAGCCAAAGCCAGCCAGCCAGCCTGCCAAATACATAAGAAAGAAGGAACACTGCAGCAGGCCTACTGGCCCATGCAAGGCAGGTCCATGTCACCCCTCCCCCCCCCCCCCCGGCTTAGACCAATGACCCACCTAGTCAGGTCACATTCACTGAAGGAACATGACATCAGACCTAGTAGCACAAGCTAGTCAGGTCCAACTCACACTCATGTATTTATCTAACCTATTTTTACTTTCCTCTTAAAAGGGGAGTGTTAATGTGACATGGCATCAGTGAATCCCTGGTGTTTGCCATGCTATTTGCTCTAATTGGTGCTCAATTGAATTGGTGCTCCCACAAGGTACTAAGTGCTCCCAGATTTTTTAATACATACATACTGCACACAGTGAGTGCACAGACCCATTCTTTCATGTCTAGATGATTCAAGCCTATTGTGCCAAATTTGAAGGAATGAAAAATAAAACGTAGATCTACGTTCGGAGCACTACGTGTGCAAATGGAGATCTACGTTTGGACAGTTTAACCCGTAAACTGTCCAAATGTATATATACGTTCACTACCCCAGTGCCCCAAATATTTTGAAAAATATAAAAATCATTTTTTTTTAATGAAAATAAAGAGCACATTTTTCTAAGTGTTGTAGGATAAAAAAAAAATAGGGTCAGTGCTTAGAGATATGAGGCTGAGAAGTTGGCACTGGATGCTCAAATGACAGCAACATCGAGTCCTGCCGCTTGCAGAAGTGCTGCCGATAAACCTTTTTTTTCTCACTTTTATATTATTTTATATAATTTTTATGTTCTGATAATTACAATTTAAAGTAGTTCTTCTCATTTTATAGCCAATCTTTGTTCTGACACTAGTATTTGGTACTGAAATTGTACTTAAATTGTCACAAACACAGTGACAGGTGGCCATTTACTGTTGTCTTGGAATAAATACAAAGTATTTATAGGTCCCAGCAATGTTTCGGATATGTGGAAGTACGTATATAAGAAGAAGAACATGCAATAAGTTCCCTTGAAGCATGAAAAGAAACCTCAGTCCACCCCTGAGAGTGACATGATAAGATGAGATAACATTAGATAAGAGCTGACATTTAATGAACATACACACGGGTGCAGTGATAAGACTTGATAAGATAAGATTAGAGGTGACATTTGATGAGCATCGGCCCTCTCTTTGTTTTTGCTGGTACACAAACATGTCTGTCTGTCTGTCAAGCTCCCTGTCTAACTGTCTATCCATCTAGCTCTCTGTCTCAGAGAGAGCCACAAGACTGCATCATCACCTTTACTCACATCTTCAAGCAGAGTATAGCAATCAGTCTGGTTTTTTTTTCAGCTATCCTAGGTAATTTACACTATGTATATATGTATTTATGTGTACCTGTGAGACAGAGATAGACAGAGACAGATTGAAAGAGATACAGAAACAGATAGAGACAGAGACAGACAGACAGACAGGGAGAGACAGACAGGGACAGATAGACAAAGACAGAAACAGACAGATATAGAGACAGAGATAGACACAGACAAACAAACGAGCCAGGCCGCCAGCAGCTGGCCAGCCAGGTGGCCAGCCTGCTGAAAAAGTATTTGTTTCAGAATTGTTTCTCTTTATTTAGGGCATAGGTTATAAGACATTCTGAAAGGGTGTTGCACAAATGTTGCACATGGGTTATTATTGAGGTTTTTTGATATTTCCTTCGACCACTTATGGCCACATCCACCTCAGAGCCACTAAACTCGGGGTCAGCATCACTTTCCTCTTAAAATGGGAGTGTTAATACAGTGGACCCTCGACCAGCGATGGCATCGATTAACGATAAATGTGACTAGCGATACATTTTATCGCAAAAATTTTGCCTCGATTAGCGCTAAAAAACTCGACCAACACTATTCCTTCCGTCTGAGACGTGTCCACTTCTGGCCAGTGTTTACAAGCCAGCCAGCCACCGCAGTCGCTTCCAAGCATACAATCGGAACATTTCATATTATCACAGCCTTTTTAGTGATTGCACCTGCAAAATAAGTCACCATGGGCCCCAAGAAAGCTTCTAGTGCCAATCCTACAGCAAAAAGGGTGAGAATTACTATGGATATGAAGAAAGAGATCATTGCTAAGTATGAAAGTGGAGTGCATGTCTCCGAGCTGGCCAGGCTGTACACAAAACCCCAATCAACCATCGCTACTATTGTGGCCAAGAAAATGGCAATCAAGGAAGCTGTTCTTGCCAAAGGTGCAACTATGTTTTCGAAACTGAGATCGCAAGTGATAGAAGATGTTGAGAGACTGTTATTGGTATGGATAAACGAAAAACAGATAGCAGGAGATAGCATCTCTCAAGCGATCATATGTGAAAAGGCTAGGAAGTTGCATGACAATTTAATTAGAAAAATGCCAGCAACTAGTGGTGATGTGAGTGAATTTAAGGCCAGCAAAGGTTGGTTTGAGAGATTTAAGAATCGTAGTGGCATACATAGTGTGATAAGGCATGGTGAGGCTGCCAGTTTGGACCAAAAAGCAGCTGAAAAATATGTGCAGGAATTCAAGGAGTACATAGACAGTGAAGGACTGAAACCTGAACAAGTGTTTAATGGTGACACTGACAATGTTGTGAAACACGTTAGGAATGTCATAAAGGAACGGGAGGTACAGGCCTCTATGGGCAGATATGTTTTGCGACAGAGGTCCAGTGACTCTCAAGCTGGTCCTAGTGGCATTAAAAGAAGGGAAGTAACCCCAAAAAAGGACTTGCCACCTCAAGTCCTAATGGAAGGGGATTCCCCTTCTAAACACTAAGACCATCAACACACTCCCCTCTTCCCATCCCATCAATCATCACCAGATCTTCAATAAAGGTAAGTGTCATGTAACTGTGCATGTCTTCTTCAGTTTGTGTGTATTAAAATTAATATTTCATGTGTTAAAATTTTTTTTTTTCAATACTTTTGGGTGTCTTGCACGGATTAATTTGATTTCCATTATTTCTTATGGGGAAAATTAACTTGACTAACGATTATTTTGACTAACGATGAGCTCTCAGGAATGGATTAATAGCGTTAGTCAAGGGTCCACTGTACTACATGACATCAGTGAATCCCAGGTGTTTGCCATGCTGTTTACTCTAGCTGGCGCTCATTTGAACTGGTTCTCCCACAAGGTACTAAGTGGTCCCAGATTTTTTAATGCAGTGCACACTGAGTGTTATGACCCATTCTATGCTGACAAGGCATCTCAGGCCAATTGTGCCATATTTGAAGGCAGGAAAAATAAAACGTTTACATACGTTTGGGGCACTAACGGTAAGAACGTATATATACATTTGGACCGCTTATGGGTTAAGGGTTAATAAAAACATCAAAGTGCAGAAATTCTTAACCCTATGACTGTCGCAAGCCCCTTTCTGAAACTCATTCTATGTCGAAAATTTTTTGGAAAAAACAAAATTATTTTTCTTATGAAATGATAGAGAATCTTTTCCCGATGGTAATG